TCTTAATAACTAAATAAAAGAAGTATCTAACAGTCGTTAAATTCACCACATAGTCCCACAAGTATTAATGCCGTTCGGCGACACAAAAAGCGAGATGGGAATCTTCGAGATGTCGCTGGCTTATTAGCCAGGCACTTTCGCATGCCTTCACACACCTGTAATGCTGAGCATGTGTAATTCCCCGATGTCTGGGGAGCAGTGATATATCCCAGCCCTCTGATTGACTTCCGCCTCCCCTCTCCACTCTGCCCCTTTCCCCAGGAGCCCTAATCGATTTTACACCCAAAGGACATTTTCTGGTGATTGTGTCTGCGGTTTGTTCGCCGCCTTTGATTTCCATCGACGCTCGTGCTCTTTTCTCCTTTTTCTCCCCTAACTGACTTAAGCGCCTGTGTAAAACGTCGTTTTGCTTTCACATCGCTCGGAGAAAGTGTGGGTTCCAGCTCGGCTTCAATTAGATATGCGTATGCTGTTTGTTTTTAGCACTTTTGCCACGTTTTTATTACCCGGCCAGCCAGACGTGCTCTGTGTGTCAGGTGGAAATCTTATAAATTTTGGAATAACTTTCATAACTTACGGTGGCTGCTGCAACTAGCGCCATTGTCTTGTCACACATGTCGGATGCTGTCTGCGTTCGCTATTTGAGTTCTCTGCCGCTCAAAACGATCCTTCCCGCCCGACTTCTATATTTTAAGGGGGAAGCTAAGGCTGAAGGGGGAGATGTGGGATATATCTCCGCTCCTCGTAATGTGGTTTAGTGCTCGGTTGACATGTTTGTGCGGCGTGGACTTATGGCTGAAGGTACACAGAGAACTTGTGTCTCCGGTCTTTTTGCGGTGGGTGTGGCTTGATTCCACGGTTGGGTTCCCTTATTCTGGGCAAACAGGAATTTGTCTAAATTGGTTGGATAAGCTCGCCGTCGAAGGGAAGGCTTTAAAGCGACGGAAAAATTGATTGGGGTAAACTATGTTGCGCGGAATTCATCTTGATTCCAGAGAGGGAAAGGCTTTACTAGCGAAGAGCTAATACTTTAAGTTAACTCCTACACAGTCTTTAAACACATAAATTTGCAAGAACATACTTTGTTGAAGTTTCAATAATATCTTCAACCAACTGCTGGCAATAACTTTAAATTCTGAAAAAGTTCCTTCAGGACCTTGGCTGGCTGTCACGTGCAGCTCCGAATCTTTGACACTCACCTTTGGCCAAAAGTGGAGAAGAATTTGTTTAAGCTTTGCTTTTGAAACGATTTTTACACCCGTTTCCTTTGGCTTGCTTTGCTTTATTTTTAATGATTTGTTTGCCACAGGCGGTTTGTTTGCCTGTTTGTTTGTTTGTTTGTTTGCTTGCAGTGTGTTTGAGTAAATTTGCTCGCCAAACTCACTTTCATGTTTAATTAAAAGATAACACACAGCCACCCCGCACAAACGTGTGTGCGGATGATATGACAAGTCTTTAAGCATTTGCTGCGTTTATCGGACCAACTTCGGCCACGCCCCTCTCCCGCCCCTCCTGCCTCTGGAAAATTTATGCAATTTGAGTTTGTCCGATTGTGCGTGTGTTCTCGGCTCTGCAGTCGAGTGTGCAATGTGCCGGAAAATATATTTCCCGAACTCCGGCCAAACTTATCTCCTCGGAGGTGGAGAGGTGCCATGGCTACGTGACGCTTATCGTCATTATAATTGAAAGCTTTAAAAATTTATGGCCAACTTTTCGGCTATTTAGCATATCAAATCGTAAAATGCGAATGGCAGTCGAGGAAAACTCGCCAGGCACGCAAATAATTATTTCCAGGCACTCGCCAAATAAAAAAAACAATTTCAATTGGCTTTTACGATGCGTATTTTGTTTTTAACGCACTCGCGAAAATACAGAGGGAGTCTTAAAAGATAAATAATTTGGAAACAGGATGGCTAGGCAATATTCCTATTTTGCGAAAAATATATCTTTCAAGCTATTGAATTTTTGTTGATCTTAATGTCTTTTTCCAAACAGTTTTCCTATATTGCAGCTTGTTGTGAATTTTATTTTCCTAAAACAAAAAATAGAACTCCTTTTACAGTTTTAATTTTTTTCAAGTGCCACTTCTTAGTACCACCAACACCGACGGCCATCAATTAATGTCGGGCTATAAAAAAGTTGGATAAAGTGATTGACTGTCCCGTTTGCCAAGTGGAGTTGAGTGACCCCTGAAACCAGGCATTTCCGAGCCCGATTGGCAAGTTGGCATGTTGAAATATTTAAAGCCGCTTAAACAAATTGTGGTCTGGTCATGCGGTGACTTGTCAGACAGTAAAACATTGCGAGCGCAGACGGAGCGATTTCATTACGGGGAAAATCAATAAGTGCGGGGAGCGAGGGCCTTGCCTCGTAATCTCCACATAAAACTCTCTCGTTAGGCGCATTAAATTACAAATTCCATTAAAATGATTATTAAAGCAAGTATTTGCTAATTAATTTACTTGCTACGCACAATGCCAGGACGCAATTAATAAGTCCAAATGAGTAGCTACATTACAATCAAGACGCCGCCAAAAGAGCCGCACGCACCGCACACCCTGTAAAAGTAATTTTTAGGGGATTAGGCATTTAAATGTTTTTTATCGACGGGTGTGAGTGGCTCCCTCTAGGGGTCATTATCCGGTGGGGAGCAGGCCTGGCGCCCCCTGGCGAGGGCAATGTTAATTGCACTTGGCTTTACGGATTTATCCGGATTTGAGGACTTAGGAATTTAATGGCGAGGTAGGCACTAAGAAATCTCTTTAGCTGCCTAGGCTCCAAGAACAAAAATGAGTTTCTGAGATACTTCCCCGCCTTTTATATTTTTATTGAACTTGAATATAAGCCTTTGCTGTTCCAAAATCCACAGAAGAGAAAAGTTTACCCAAAACACCAACCTCAAATAGCCCTTAGAAAATGTGTGAGAAGAAGCACTCATCCGTTTGCAATTGCAATTCCATTTCGGCGCAACTGAATGCTCATTGTGATGGAATCGCAACAATCTACCCTTTGTTACCCATGAAACACAATGAATTACAGCAGTGCCTCATGACCCCAGTTTGCTGTAGTTCTTATGAATAATAAAGCAAATAATCTGTCAGCGTCGCAGCCGCCTAACCAAAAACCAGAGGCCACCCGGAGCCAAACCCAATCCCAAGGCCCGGAGAAACGGAGAAGTCGAGGAGTAGGGAAGCGGAGAAGAAGGAGAACGCGACGAGGGGAAAGAGAGGCCACTAAAGCCGGGGAATGTCAGTGAGAAATCCACAGCGACAAACGACTCAATTCGTGGGCGAAATTCGAGAACTCTCAGTCGACGTTTGCTCTGTCTGACAAATCAAAAAGGGAAATGCACTGAGAGAAGTTCCGTTGATATCTGAAAAAATAAAACCTTTTATTCAAGAGTAAGCAACATAAACCTATCGTGTCTAACTCAGATTCTGGGTGGTAAAACTAACTTAGTAGAGTTTTTTGGTAATACAGTAAAGTCCTTATTTTGTCTCGGTGCATTGAAATTCGTATGGGAAAACGCGGAAAAGCGTGGGGGAAATGGGGAGCGGCGAGTCCAGTGCTAATAACACGAAATCCGATTTGAACGTCGGACCTGCGTGTGATAAAAGCAACAACATCACGCAGTCTGCGGTTGCCTTTTTCCGTGTCGTTTCGTTTCATTTCGTTTCGTTGGGCTCGACTCGTGCCACGCTGCGTATGCGTAACGTGCGTTTTAATGAAATATTGAATTTTATTGCCTGCGTGCTCAGGACGCGCTGTCAACAACTTGGTCCAATCCAAAAGCTGACCCTGACTGGCCCGCTTCACAACTTGTCACTGCCTCGAGGGCTGTGTTACACAGGAAAAAAATGTGCAGGGGAAACTAGTGTAATTTTAAAACTTATAGAAAGAAATCTTAAACATTTACGGGGTAGTAGTTTGATATAAATAGCAAAATACCCTTTAGGTTTATGGCTTATATATTCCACAGATTTTAAAATATCCTAAGGTCACAACCATATGTGAACTCATTAAAAACAGAAATGAAAATAATCCCATTGTGCGTCGAAAAGCATTACGAATATTCTTATAATTTATTCATTTACTGATTTATTTATTTGTTATTACTATTTGAATACCGTTTTTGTGAGATTGAAGCCACTGGCATTTTTTCTCTGTGGGAGATTCCTTGCACCCCCGACCTTTCATAGCCTCTTAATTTGATTCGTTTTATTTGTTATGCAAAAACTTGAAGTATATTATTATTACCCATATATACGCAGTCCTTACTTTTCGTTGCGCCTGCCTAATAAAAGCAATTTATGGAGCCCAAAGCGCGGAAATGAATTGTTAACCGAATTTTTTGTTTGGAGTTTTGCGGGGGAAGGATGATGTCCATGATGTTGTTGATGAGTGGGTGGTGTCTTTTGTTTATGGTCACTCAGCCCACTTTGCCCTCCACGTAAACGCCTTTTGCGGCATTGTGAAATTTCCCAGAGCGCACATAAAAATGAAAACCGCCAGAAGGGGCAGATAACAAGAGGTAAGGGAAACGGGGGCGTGGCGCGGTGAAAGAAAATTAAAGAGGGGGCATGGAATTCAGTCGGCCATGAAGAATGCGATCGGATGAATCTGAAAAGAAGTGCATATGGCAACGGTTCCAATCAAGCGGGTTCTGCATCCCCTGAACTGCAAGGGCTGGCTGTTCTGGGCACAAGTTTTTCAACATATTGTCAAGTCTTAGAAGTTAAAGGGAGGATATGGAAAATGGAAACCAAACAAGTTGTTCCAAACGCTGAGTGCAGAATTGGTTATCTACGAAACAAAAACAGTTTTCTCTCTTATTTCGATCCCCATTTACTTGAAATCCAACGAAAAGTGGTCATGGAAATTTAAGTGCAGTGGAAAAACGAAATGAGCCACAGCATCCGCTCCCTTGGCCAGATTTCGGGTTCGTGCCTCCATTAATGTTTTTCCCCTTTGTTTCAGTTCAATCGTGAGATAAAACTTACCGATAATGAGCAGCTTTACGGCCGACATGTTGGACTGTGTTGCCGCTGATGTATTTTTTCTGTTTTCAGCCAACGTTTTTTTGTTTGTACTTTTTCGTTCAACTTTTGGGTGGCAGATCGGTATTTACAGAAATATTAATCCGCTAAAGAGGCAACAGTTTGACAGTTACTGGAGTCGGTGACCGGCACAAATTGCATTTTAATGGCGCGACGGCAATACGACTGTGATGGGATGCAGCACGCCGACGATTTTATCCGGACACATTTCGGTTTTTGTTTTTGCGGTTTGCGTTTTTTTCGTTTTTATTTCAGTTTCAATTTGCAGTTACGAATATGCACGCAATGTCGGTGCCTGCTTAAAGGCTCACTCGAGAATTGATTTTGCAGCGATGCTGAAATGCGATTTGAAATATTTAAGCACTCAAGATGCCGGGCACTGTAATTAAATGTTTCAATTAAATTAAATGCGACACACACACACTCACACACAAGCGCTCATGCAAAATGCACACCGAAGGCGCCTAGAAGTAGGCAATGAATATTTAAAGCCTCAGACATTTCAATTTGGGCCTCCGAAGGGGCAGAAGGCCAGGCCCGGGCATTAAATTAACATATTTCCCAAATAATAATAACTTCCAGGAGCAGAGATGGATCCCGCAAATGGAATTGTGCCAGTCAGTTGGCTTTCTACACATGTAAACTGTGCTGCTAATGTCTTATTCATGTTTACAATGCCTGGCGACTTATGAGCGGCCAGCATGTCAGTCAAACGGCTCGAAAATGGCCCATCGCTTGCGTGCTCCAAACTTATTAGGTTTCATCCTCCCCGAACAGCCCACTCCATCCAGGTGTCTCCAGGTGAGCGGGTTCCGCCGGAATGGTTGATGGGCCTTCTTTCGGCCAAGCCCCGGCAATTGCCGGGCTATTTATTTAAACCGGATCCGGGGGACACAAAACCGGAGCGTTTCACTGCCCAATTGCTAATGGAAATCTCCTGCGATTCTCGCTCCTAACTGCTGAGTAATTGTGAGTTATTAATGGTCCGTGTTTATTATCTTGGGGAACTAATCCAAAGAAATCTCATGAACCATTTTGAAATCCCTTAGCTAACATTATTCTATCACAAACATGTATGGAAATCTGTTAGTTAATATTTTTAAGCCTTGGAAACTGATTGCTTTTGTGGTAAAATTAAAGGTAGTTTTTTAGCAAATGCCTTGTTCAATCGAATTTGAACCAATTTTTTTTCTATATTTAAACTTTGAATTTTTTAATCTGTTTTTCAATTCACCGACTATAAACAACTTTAAGATCACTTTGCAATTGAGCTATCTTTTCCTCTCACATATAGTATCTTTCACAATATAGGATATTCACGAAAATTATCTTTATCTTGAGTTCCTGTTCCTTCAACACTTTTCACGAAACCAAAAACACTGTATTCCTAGGAAGCGCGTACTATCAAAGTTTTGTTTTATTTTATTTCTTCAAGAAAGTCATAACTCAGCGAAGTTAACGATGTGGGTCCTTGACACAACTCATAATTCGCTCATGCACCAGAGTCGGGGAAACTTTAAGCTAAGCCACTTTCGACGACATCCAAATAGCAGCCGCCATAACAATGGCCGAAAAAAAGCCCGAAAAATCAACTGTCACAGCGGAATAATAAAAATAATTTATTTGCATTTTATTTGCTCGGCCTTTGCCTGAGTCTGAGTCTGAGTTTGGGTCTGCCTCGATCTCGGTCTCCGCATCGGTCTCTAGGACTAGAGCAAGGACCAAGGACAACAAGTTGCTGACACACAAACGGAAAGGACGCAAAAAAGAGGAAATTATACGGATTTGACAGATGAGCGAAGGTAAGTGGAGCACAACTTTCGCAGCGGCTTTAAATTGAGCAGAAATTGTTTGTCACTGTTTGTTGGCCCCTTTGGGTTTTCCCGCAGTTTATTTTATTTCATTCCTCTCTATTTCTGTTGCACTAGTTGTGGCCCAGTTTCTGGCTTTTTGGCGGCGTGAATGTGCACCGTCGCGGCAGGAAGAGGGGGAGGGGAAGGGGGAGGGGGAGCAAGGTCACGGGAAAGGGGGAAGCAGTTGCACTTGAGTGCCATTTGTCGAAAGAGTTGCCCGGCAATTTGCATAATTACAAACGCACATGTAAGCGAAACGCGGTTTCCGCCTGTCCGCAATTTCCACTGCAACGCTTTTCCGCACTCGCGTTCCTTCGGTTCTGTGTTTTCTAGGACTTCTCTAACTCGTTCCCGCTCGGCTTTCACGATTTTCCGACTTTTCCGCTTTGCCGCCCGTGGCCGCAGAACGCTTCTTACCAACTAAGTGCAATTTCGGTTTTGTTCCAGCTTAAGAACAAAGTTCGCAACGACGAAGAGCGGCACGAGTACAGTGAACTTCGGGTGCAGCGAACGAAGCGGGTGTCCTCAGACGAAGTCGCGAATCTCGGTTGTTGAATTCTTTGCGGGGCGGCTGCGCTGAGAGAAACTCCTGGCAACATGTTGCCAAGGGAGAGTGCGATGGAGAGTGGGCCCAAGCCGCTGAGGGCTTTTGTGGTAGGTTAGGGACTCCAGAAAGGAGACTCTAAAAGTGGAACTCGGTAAAACGAACCACAGATTGTCCTAGGCTCCAAATGGTTCAGGATGGTGTTCGAAACCAACGTACTTTTGAAAATTGTAATAGATTTTGTAGCCTATGAAAAATGTTTACTAAAAAATCGTAAATTTATGACCTATCTTACAATTTTGGTGACACTTCGCATAAGCTGTGTACTTTCTGATTAATTTCTTTATTATTTCAAATATTTTTAACACTGAATTTTCGATACTGCATTTACATTGCTTGAAACCAAACTACTCTAAAATGTATTCACTGCATTATTTGTTTTTATTTAAATATAGTGATTAATCGCCTTTAGTAATTTAATGGCCTTTAAAGATGTTTAGGTTACTTAATAATTAGGAACTTAATTTAATATTGATACCAAGTTACTGGTAATATGTATTTATTAGCCCTCTCTGCTTTTTGGCTTATTTATGTTTTGAGGTCAGTCGAAGTTGTTGTTTATGGGCATAAACACACACGAAGCAGAGCACACGAAATGTTGTTTTGGGATCGTCGGGGCTCGGTTTTAGCCAACTTTTTGCTCCAATCCTGGCTAACTAGCCGGAGAGAAAGCTGTTCCCCTTCCAATCGTTCCCGTCTCTTCTCACGAGAGTTCTCTCCAACTTTCTCTTCGTATATGTCTCTCTTTTGGCAACATGTTGATCTGATGCACTCGCAAGTGCATTCGTTTCTATTTCTTAAGTGAATCAACAGTTGGGCCCCACTAGGGCAGACAGAAACTACAAAAGGCTCTTGATTTCCAAATATTTTAGCATACCAAATATATGACTAATTATACTAGGATACCAAAGGTAGCATCGTATTCTTGTTTAAAGCCCTTAGAATATTTCCACCAATCAAACAAATGGTTTCCTTTTAACTCCAGGTGAATTTCTAAGTAGTTTAGGGTGCACCCTTCGCCCGATGAACATTTTGACCCCCTCAACTCCAGTTCACCACAGCATAACACCATAACCCCCTTTCAGATATGGCGTGGCCCATAAAAATATTTGCAAACTGAATGTGGCAAGTTTTGCCGAAAAAAAGTTACTACCACAGAGGTTGTGCGAACACCTCAGCACGCAAATACACACAGAATATACAAAAGTTGTTAAAAAGTCCAAATAAATTTGTTTCGCCGGAAGTGGAGATGCCTCACAAATGTTTGACATAAATTTATGCGTTTTGTGTGCTGCCCACGAGAACTCTTCAACTTTGCTTGTAGATCAGGTGAGATGGTACAACTGGGCTGGGGAAAGGGTTGGAAAATTGTGAGAAGGGGTGGAGAAAAGGAGGAGGCAGTTGGGTGGCAGACAGTCACGGTTGCGGCTGGCAAACTAAAGTGTGTTTCGAAATTGAGTTGTCATAAAAGCATTGAGAGCGAGTCGCATTGAAGGATAGAGGCAGTCACAGTACGGAGTCATAAGCAATGGATGAAATATAATAGATTCTAGTGAGGAATTACACACCTAATTACGTTTTACCAGTAAATAAAACCCCTATTGATTCACTTTCCTTAGGACTCTTCTTGAAAATACAACACCTATGGTACAAACAGGGTGATAAATGAAGCAAAATCGACGAACTTCTGCACTCTCTACTGTACTTGACAGCAGCTCGTAAACATTCTTTTATTTGCATGCCACTGCCAAATATTTCACATCCGAAAAAGGGGTAAGGGGAAACTACTTCTGACTTGTCTGCAACTTCGGACTTAACCTGAACAACCCACTCAATACTTTCACTACGCACTCCCCGTTCGGAGCGAAAACTTTTTTCGATTTAAATAAAAAGCCAGCAATACGACAACACTTTGAACTCTGATAGAGACCTATAAAAAATATAAAAACACATAAAAATATGCCAGAACTTTCTAGTCAAAGGTGGCCAAAAGCTTCTTGGCCGAGTAGACGTAAGGGCTAGAACACGGTTTAGTTCCGGCCATAAATGTTCACATTTTATGAACTCTGTTTTACTTTCGATTCAATTTTATTGGGTGCACAAAAAGGGAGATAACTTTTTTATGTTTTCAGGTTTTCTTTGAGGAACTCCTTCAGTTTCGCAGCTGTAAACTGAATCTCTTGGCTTCATTTTCCATCCCAATTTAACATTTTAATTTCCATATCCCGCTTGAAATGCGTTTTCCAGGCCATTTTCCTCGCGCCTGAGCCAAAGTTATCCTCCATCTTTAGCTGTGTTTTTTCTTACATCCCTCGGGAAAATGTTGCAGGAAAAGCAGCTGCCGAACCGGCGGCGGTTTAAACATTTTTAATTAATTTACATGACTGCAGCTGCTTGGCATGTGATGCACGTAAGATGCGTGGGCGCATTTGGCAGCCGGAAAAGGGGGCGTGGCGGCGGGGAACGAGAGGTGCGGATGGAATTAAAATTGTAGCGAAATACTTTTGGCTGCAGCGGCAACTACAGTTAATCAAATGTGAAATGACATGAACACAACACTGGCAAACGGGGGCGTTGAAGGAGGCGTGGCATATAAATCAGAACGTGCACGCCCACTTTCACCCCGACGACGATTCCCACTTAATTGCTCAAATAAAACGGACGGCTTTTCCTTTTCCCGACGCACTATTAAGCCATTATGCAGTCAAAGAAAAAATAATTCGGCCATAAAAACTGGTGATGAAGGTTGGCTTTCACTTAAAGAAATCCTTTTCTTAGTAAGATTAAAACAAAAATACTGCAAGATTGAAACAAAATAAATAATCCTTTTAATAATCGCAAATCTTTGATATTAGGTACCCTGAAAAAAATACAAATATTTATTTGTTCATAAACTTCATCAATATATATCAACATTTACTGGTCTTAAATTGAAATCCAATTTTTTCAGAAATGTGAGCAGAAAGCCAAACGAAGCGGGGGAAATGCGTTAATGTATTCAAGGAGTCCCCATCATCAAGGACGTCAACGTTTTGCGTTAGCCATATAATTTATGCACGTTTTAATTTCATTTGGTGCCTAACAAGTGCCACGCCCACTCGGCAGCTCGGGCGGTAGAAGGCAGTGGAAATGGGGTAATGAAATCGGAGAACGGGAAAAATATGTTATTTTGACACCTTCAAGGTTGCGCCCATCGCAGACAAGTTGCGACGATTGGTTGGGATTGGGATTGGCATTTCTGGGGTGAAGGGTAAATGTCAAGGAATCAACGGTTGGAATGGACTAATCAACCTGAGCTAAGGGAATCGGAGAAAGCTGAATGTCGGAACACCCTTTTTGAAGGTAAAAGTGAGAACACAATGAATTTTCTGAGATATATCGTATTATTTAAGAAGCTCTAGGACCTCTATTGCGAGTAGAGTTTTATAGATCTTAGATAGGTTGTGTGGTTCTTAAAGAGATGGTGTATTGGTTATTGTTTTCCATAAAAATGTAGGGATAAAAATTGTAAGAAGCCTTTAAAGCAGAAAAAGAAAAATATGCAATAGTGACAGGGTATTCCTCTCTTCTTGTTGCGTAAATACCACCTCGATTTGTTATTCCTAACACCAAATCCTTTTTGCATATTGTTTTGTTATTCTTGCTCCCCCGTTTTCATTATTTAACACATTTCAAAATTCACAATTCAAAACGTGTTAATTAGCAGGCGGCGACAAGGGGCGGAAGTTGGGGGAACTTCTTTATCCGCAAATGTGTTAATGACTTGGATGGAGGGCGGGACCACGCCCCCTACCACGTCCTCCCTACGCGACTTTAATTTCCGCGCCGCCTCCTTGAGTTTTGGATGTCAATAAAATTAGCATTTGCCTTTGTTTTTGTTTTGCTGTCGCACAAATTAAACTGTTTCGAGGGCGTGTACACATTACGCAACTAAATATTCATGCGAACGAAGTTCCAGGAGCCGCGTTTCCCGTGTTTTCCGTTCAGGCCTCTTCTCAATTGACGCCTTGAGCAACGGAAAGCTCGTTTTCCCCTCGGGGAGCAGTCGTAACTATCAAATTACCCAAGGATATGTGTTCGGGGGGCAATCATAAAAGGACCAATTCTTGCAGGGTGGCACAGTAGTAAAGCGCTCTCAGTTTTAAATATTTTATTGTAATTAAGACGCGAAATTTCTCCCCGAGGAGAGCAGTGTAAACTTTAGTGGCAGATGTTGCCCAGAAAAAAGGAGGGACCTCCAAGTAAAAACCCGGTTTATTTAAAGCTGCGTCATTGTTTCTTATGAAAAAATATTAACAAGAAACTAATAAGAAGGTTACATAAATGTGAAAGCGTCTTTCTTTCATCTGGCCTGTGCTTGTAAAACCCTTCCTCCTCCCCGTTCCGCTTTCATTGTGAAAATTCAGGGGGGAACGAGTAGAATGCCTTTTGTTCTCTTGGGCTGATTTACAGCCGCAAGTTTTGGCCCCTCCTTAACCCCTGAGCCCTCCGCCCTCCGCCCGTTGTTGGGCAGTTAACATTTGCTTGATGCACTCCTTAACACTTTGTTGCCGTTAATTATGCAACAGTCCCCGTCTGCTGCTGCTTCCTCTTGCTCCGATTTTCCTCCGGCCTTTTCTGCCATCTGCAGGCTGGCAGAACTAAATGGAAACTGTCAAATGAACCGCAATTGTAATTGTGTTCACTGAGTTTACTCCTCGGGTTGTTTTGCCTAAAAACTCTCTCGGCAACGAAATGATGTGTGCCATGGCGAAAACTTTCACCTTTCACCTGTTAATGACGTGGCACACGGCACGTAGAGA